TGATAAAAATAATAAAATTATTTTACTCAAGGAGCACTGTCCCTCCTTTTCCCAACAGCGGGAGGGCTATAGCAAATTTAACAAGATCTATGAATGGGACATGATGCTGCGGGGAGAGCAGTGCCATATGGTCATGACCTCTGTATCAGGCCATCTCCTCAACCAGTCATTCACAGGGCACTACCGCAAGTGGACAAGTTGCAACCCACTGCACCTCTTTGATGCTCCAGTTGTCAAGATCTGTCCACAGGACATGGAGCCCATCAAGGTTTGTTTGTGGGACAGTGGGAACCTAACATGATTAGCATAACCTGCAGCTAAAATTCAACAACCATTCCATAATCTCAAAAAAACGGTATTATAAAATGGAAATAATTTCAGCGTACCTTGGAAAAAGAAGCAAGAGCTGCAACACGCCTGATAATCTGGACAGATTGTGATCGTGAAGGGGAGAACATTGGTTATGAAGTCATTGAAGTATGCAAAGCTGTGAAGCCTTCTCTCCATGTTTTGAGGTAAGGCAGCTCTTTAATGGAATCTTTTTCTGAACCAATTGGAAAGGAAAAGAAGGAAAAGACAGTAACCTTGAGTATGTTGATGTGAAACAAGTATTCATTATTTGCTTCTTTACTAAAAACCATAAGAGCTAGGCAGTTTATATTGTAGATGAATGTGGAACAATGAAACTTGCTATTCATCAGTTTCTTTTTGATCAGTAAAAAAGATAGCCACTTGGACTCCAAGAATGCTCAGGTGAATGGAAACCTGTTGTGAGGCAGTTTATGGGTTAAAATTGCTTATTTTAATTATAATCAAAAGTAATGAATAGCCCTGTATTTGCAATGTGACCATAATATTTTAAGTGAAATAGGATCAGTTTACACAAAATAACAGTTCAGTCATGTGCTTGGTATCTTGCCTACACCAAAAGAATGTGTAAAGACCTATGGTACACTAGATGATGACTGCACAAACAATCTAGAAATAGAAACAAACACATACATAGACGTGGATAAATAACATGATATACAGGCAGTTTATAAGAAAAAGTATAGACAGCAAGAATAAGTGTTTAGGCTCATGATGACTGGTTTCAATTCATTTTGAAGAAAGCAGGGGGAACTGAAGCTATTTTTTTTCTGAATTTCAAGAATAGTAATATAGCTATTTTACTTCCTGAATCACATGAAAACTGATTCTCTAGGAGTTCACATACAAGAGTTTATTTTTTTCCACATTTATTCACACCAGTAGTATAAAAATGCCAAAAATATAATTTTTAAAGTACAAAATTTTACAGGAGTGTTCATTTTGTTACATTTTACTACAAAGAGTATTGCATGCATTAAACATTTACCCACTGAATTTTTAATAGATACCCTGAGGTCCCTCAAGAGTGTACATAAAAAGAACATTGAAGCATTCAACATTATAATGTTCACTCTCCTTTCACCTTTGTAAAACTTGTGTCTCTTAACCTCTCTTTTACACAGGAGTTAATAAGTGAGAATGGTGCCTGGCATTCTGAACTCTGTGTTTTATGGGAAGAGGATACTATTTGTGGATCATTCCCTAATGTTTAAAAAATATTTCAGGGCTAAGTTCTCAGAGATCACGTTTCAGTCAATCCAGCGGGCATTACAATCCCTCGTACCGCCTGACAGGAAGCAGAGTGATGCCGTAGATGTACGCAGTGAGCTTGACTTGCGCATTGGTAAGTTTGTTTACATGCACACATACACAAGCTCATACCCATGCACACATTAGATGCAGGCTATGAACTGGTATACTATTGTGATGATTCATTTTGCAGTTTAATCTCAACTGTAATGAGTCATAAAGAAATGGACTTTGAATGAAGTTAGCTTACAGAAAGAATCTTGAGGATTAGAATCTTAAAGATTTGTTAGATCATCTTTTTGCTTGTAGGTCTGATGAGTGAAATAAAAGACATTACTTGGCCGTTTGTTTAATAATTTTTTATTTAAAGTGCTCAAACTCTTGTAGTGAGTTAGATGAGAGATGATTGAAAAATAAATTAGATTTCTTTCTATTTGCAGAGGATGATTTGTTGAATAGATTGAATGTGTGCAATTCTTATTGGGGGGGGATACTACTACTATTACAACCTCATCTTCTTTCTCCATTCATCCCACAGGAGCAGCTTTTACACGTTTCCAAACACTCCGCCTGCAGAAGGTTTTCCCACAGGCTTTGGCTGATACGCTCATAAGTTATGGATCTTGCCAGTTCCCAACTCTTGGCTTTGTGGTAGAGCGTTACAAGGCCATTCAGGCATTCATACCTGAGCAGTTTTGGAAGATCAAAGGTATGTTGAATGGGGTGTTCATTAGTACATTTATGTTCATTTTCATTCACTTAATGGTGTATTTTGTTATCGGAGTAGGGTTTAATGCTTTGCTAATGAGGAAGATAATAGTAATGACAGTAATAATGATAATACTAATGATAATGATAGTTCTGATGATAATGATAACGATTATGACAATAATGATAATAGTGATGATGATAATAATAGTATACGTAATAATAATAATGACAATAATAATAATCGTAATAATGGTAATGATCATAATGATAATCATAATATTAATAATGTTTATGATAATAATGATGATGATGATGATACTGATAATGATAACAATGATAAAAAAATAGTTATGATAATGAAATTAATAATTATGATAATAAAAAATGATAATGACAGTAAATGAATATGGTGACTAAAATGACTGCAGTGATTTTAATGACTTTAATGACTCTAATGATATTAATTATAGGAGACAGAAACTAAGGCCCAGTGTTAAGGATCACTCTTTCTTGGGCCTCAGCCCTTGGCTCAACCATTTTAGCATGGTCTTTCTTCTGCCCTTTTCCTTCTCTTCTCCATCCCCTTCTTCTGTCCACTTCCTAAGGTGTAAGAGCTGTACTGAAAGGATGAAAGACTAGCTTTGAGTCAGGGAGCCATGGGCATAATATATCCTTGGGTAGTCATCTATCCCTTACCCCTTGTGGGAACCCTGAGGGGTAGACTGATTTTCTTCACCTCACATTTCAGGCTCCCTATGGCCAATGTCAGGGGCATTAATGCTTGCCCCTTTACCAACAAGCCTATCTGAAATTAACGTCTCTGATTTCCTGACCCCTGACACTCCTTTGATCATGGCTTTGACCACTGCTGCTACTACTTCCTCCTCAGTACTTGTTGTCAACTTGAGTCATTTTGAATCATCCACTTAGGCCATTCAGAATCCACCCCTTCCTTTCTTCCAACAACCTCCATTCCATCTCTTCCTTCTGTACAGTCTTCTTCATTGTCTTCCCCCTGCTCCCATATGTCTATTCTTCATTATTATTGTCCTGCTCCCTGCAGAGCTACCTCACAGCACATCTCCTTCTCCTCCTGTCCTTGTCCTTCTACTACTTCTACCTCTACAAGCCTTTTGAGACTTTTTAGACCAGCCAAGTGAGATAATTATTTTGTGATTCCCCCTACAGCCTCTTACTCTGACAATACCCTCCTCTTCTAACAATTTCTCCAAAATCATGTAGGCGAAATTTCCTTCTACAGCCTTTCTCATTGCTCACACCTAGTCACAGGTATATCTGAGATCTTACTGGCATACCTTTTCCTGGCAGTGGCTCCCATAATGTATTTTATATCTATATAGCTTACAAGTTTGAGTCTGAGATAGCAGTTCCCAGAATCAAGCTAGGCCTTACTTTACATGAGGCCAGACAAAAAGCATACCAACAATTTTTTTCTTGATTCTTCTGCTTTCCCAAATCCAGATACTCCAATATCTACCACTTTCCAAGTGCCTGCCCCTCCTATTTGCTTTACCTGTTCCACAGATAGTCTAAATGTTCCATCCCATCTTCTACCATATTCACTCCTGCACCTAAATCTTCCTCTGCTTGAATGTCTGACTCCTCTTCTCCTCCACTCAAAAAATACTTTTGTTTTCAGACCTCTCCACCTAACCCCTCCAGAAACTCATGAACACATTCAAAACTTTCTAGAGAACAATCCTCTCCCTCATCCACTCTCCAGTTTTTCTACTCCCATTCCCTCTTCATTTAAACTAACTGCTGACATCCATCCTTGTCCTCCTCATATTCCCCCTACCCCTCTTCCTCCCACTCTCTCCCAACACGTCTCATTCTACCCTTCTCCATCTACAAGTCCACTTCTTCTCCCTCCTTGATGCTAATGTGACTCCCCGGATCCTTTCCCTCCAAATATTTTTCCTCTTACTTCTCTGACACCCATTTCTACCCTTATTTCCTGTTGATTACTTCAAAATGATTCTTCTTTCAGTCCCACACATTCTGTTGTCCTATCACTGCTTTACTGCAGCCTTTCCTTTTCCTCACTTGTCCTCACTTCCCTGACCCCCCGACCTGTTGGACATCTATACTTTTTCCTTTGACTACTTGTTCTCCTTCCTCAGACATAGATACTCCATTTGATCTGATGGTCCTGCACCCCTCTTTTGCCTTTTCCTAATCCCCTATTTGCTCCCCCACTTTCCCCATACCATTCTACAGTGATCTATGACCTTTGACTTCTAACACATTTTATTTGGATAATTAACCCTTTTTGCTACAATACTTTTCCATGCACTATACGACATTTGATGTCTAACATTTATTTATTTTCTATTAACTGTTAACCATTCTCTTCATGTGGCAGTCAGTCATAATGGAGAAGAGGGAGTGATAGACTTTACCTGGGGACGTGTCAGGCTGTTTGATGAGCTGGCTTGCGAAGTGCTTTTTGAGATGTGTCAGGAGAATCCCCAAGCACGTGTGACGAAAATTACAACCAAACGCAAGAGCAAGTGGCGACCACTGCCTCTTGACACTGTGGTGAGTTTTTGCAAGCTTTGAAAGTGCTGATGATATAATCTGAATGTTGAATGCAGGGGAAAGTAGATGGATATGATTTGACTTCATTTTTTTTTAAAGATGATGATGTAGAAAGAGTATATAGAAGAGGGATAAAGATATTCTGTATATTAAAGAATTAGCTTAATATTATTAAGAGACTTTCTGGTACGTATATTGTCCCCTGTAATTTTGTTTTGCCAATTTTGTTTACATATAGATGGCTTCACAAGTGCTTCATCATCTAGAAGGCATGTGTTAGGCATACCTAACCTCACCTGTTTACCCCATTCCTTGAATGTATATATATATAGCATTGTTATTAGAATTATTAATGTTGTTGATATTATTATTATTAGAATGTGATAAACAAATACAAATAATAAAGAAAATAAAATCTTTCTGAAAAATCTAGTGATTTGATAAAAAAAATGAACCCTTTGATTGCTTAGGATGACTATGGGCAGTTTCAATATGTCATTCATGATGTGTTAAGTGGCTATAGTACATTGCTTTAGAAAAACTTTCCTCTGTTCAAAATGTCATTCATGATTTGTACAGTCAGTTGCCTTCAAAAAACTTCTCCTCTGTTCCAGGGCAGTGGGTCTATATACCTTCAAGCATATTTTACCCTGGAAATGCCACCTGTGCCTCCACGTTTTGTATATAAAGATATTAAAAAAAAAATGAAATTGGCTTTTTGAACATATTTACATCAAACATAATATTTATTTATTTCCCAACAATAAATAGAACAACTTTGTTCAGATTAGCACCTCCGTACTTTTGCTATGTAAGGTGTGTACAAGGGAATGGTTATGCAATCTCAGGCTGCGGTCAAGGGGTTAATAAGCTAAAATCAAAATGAATATGGCATTTATATGGCATTTATACATACCATCGCATTGTCAGTAGGATAATTAAATCACATCTCTTAGATTGGCTTATTACTATACACTTCAAGTAAAAAAAAAAAGAACACCATAACATCGTTTGTAACTCAACAGGAGCTTGAGAAGCTGGCATCACGAAAACTTCGCATAAATGCTAAAGAGACCATGAAAGTTGCTGAGAAACTCTATACTCAAGGTTTCATCAGTTACCCCCGCACAGAGACCAACATTTTCCCTAAAGAACTAAATCTTGTGCCTTTGGTTGAGATGCAGTGCCAAGATCAGCAGTGGGGAGGTGAGTGGAATATGAAAATGTAATAATTTGTTTTCTGATATTGGTTGTTGACATGCACTGAGGTTTCAGTTTATTCAATTTCTTTACTTGTAAAAGGCTCCATGGGTGCTTAATCACTATGAAGTCTGAATGCTGTGCTCATTTAAATTTTTTTTGCAAAATGTCTTTGCACATAGATGACTCTGCTAGTGCTTAGCCACAAAGGAGCCAATTAGGAGACCTTGTGATTTCACCTTTCCTTGAATTTGTGGGAAAAACATTTTTTTAACTAATGCTATGCATATTGATGGTGTTATATTTATCAGAGATATTATAATTATTATAATGCTATTGACATTAGTAACAGCAATATAAGTATTGTAAAATATTTTTGAAAATCGAGGAAAAGGGTAAACAGACAAGACAGGAAGTACTCACATCTCTTAGATTTGCTTATTACTATACACTTCAAGTAAAAAAAAAGAACACCAATGGAAATAATATCGTTTGTAACTCAACAGGAGCTTGAGAAGGTGGCATGTCTTAGTACAAGTGTAGTAATATTTGTTTTTAAAACAATTATTAAAGTAAACTCACAGTGGGCATGGCATGTACATACATGTCATGCCCATCGGCTTAGGGTTAATAATGATAATAATAGTATGAGAAATAAAACATATTGGCATCTGCTATCAGGCCTTGCTGAGGCAAACATTAAACTCCTATTAAACTCTTCTATAAAATATTATCAATTACCCTCCGTCAACAGGTTTTGCTGGTAGGGTGCTGGAGGAGGGGCCTAACCCACGCCAGGGCAGGAAGTCTGACCAGGCCCATCCCCCCATCCACCCCACCAAGTATGCAAGCAACCTACAGGGCAATGAAAAGCGGCTGTATGAGTTTATTGTGCGCCATTTCCTGGCTTGTCTGAGCAAGGATGCACAGGGCCAGGAGACCACTGTGGAGATTGTCATTGCAGGGGAAGAGGTGGGTGGCTTAGCTTGACCCTGAAAAATAATATGTAAAGAAAATTAAAGTGAAAGCCTCATTTACAGCAAGAAAGGTAACAGTCTGCAATGTTTAAACTAAACATGATGTCTGAAGTCATCAAGTGGGAACAAAGAAAATGTCCTTGATGACATCTTTTCTGTTTCTGTTTGAAGAGAAGTCTAGTCTGACTTGAAACTCTGGACTTTGTGTCTTACTGTGCTGAGGCTTTCAGTACTGTACAGGGTTGGGGTATCTTGAAATACTCTTGTCTTGTTGAAGAATTAGTGTATGTTGTAAATGTCTTTGTCATGACTATAAGATAAGGAATTGAGTTCATTGATTTTATTTCTTATCTTCTTTACATTTGTGATGGAAAGAACCATGCTTTAAAATTGTTGGACCACTTTATGCTTTAATAGGTTTATTACTTTTTCCAACAAGACTTTATGGGATGAAAGGATAATCTTTCTTTGTAAAGTATTCAATCCAATTGAGATTTTTCTGCTATTAGTTTTCTTTCCTCTCTTTGCCCCTTTTTTTATTAATGCTCTTATCAGCTGCTTTCACTGACCTTCTTATTCCAGCACACCAATAGCAAAATCAGTGAATATTGTAAAATTCCCCTCCTCAGTTTAAATTTTTCCTCCATTCAGTTTATTTATTTATTCATTTTATAATTTGCTATATATTTATTTTATAATTTGCTGTTTATTTATTTTATAATTTGCTATTTATTTATTTTATAATCTGCTTATTTATTTATTTTTTTCCTTATACTTATTTACTTATTTTATGCTCTCCTAGTTTACTGCTAGTGGCCTGATCATCTTGGAGAGGAATTACCTGGAGGTGTACCCTTACGACCGCTGGAGTGACAAGGTGATGCCGCGCTATGAACAGGGCCAGGTGTTTGAGCCCACTGTCATTGAAATGGTTGATGGGGAGACATCACCGCCACAGCTGCTTACAGAGGCTGATCTAATCGCTCTTATGGAGAAACATGGCATTGGTGAGAAACAGAGTGGAAAGATGTGGAAAGGATGAATTACAGAATGGGAGTGAGAGTGAGTGAGAATGAGTGAGTGATGGAGGGAGAGGGAGGGAGAGGGAGAGGGAGGGGAGAGGGAGAGGGGAGGGGGAGGGGGAGAGGGAGAGGGAGAGGGAGAGGGAGAGGGAGAGGGGAGGGGAGGGGGAGGGGGAGGGGGAGGGGGAGGGGGAGGGAGAGGGAGGGGGAGGGAAAGGAAGAGAGGGAGAGGGAGGGGGAGAGGGGGAGGGAAAGGAAGAGAGGAGAGGGAGAGAGGGAGAGGAAGAGGGAGAAGGAGAGAGATAGGGGAAGGGAGAGGGAGAAGAAGGGAGAGGGAGAGGGAGATGAGAGGGAGAGGGAGAGGGAGAGGGAGAGGGAGAGGGAGAGGGAGAGGGAGAGGGAGAGGGAGAGGGAGAGGGAGAGGGAGAGGGAGAGGGAGAGGGAGAGGGAGAGGGAAAGGGAAAGGGATAGGGAGGGAGAGAAAGGGAGAGAAAGGAAGGGAAAGGGGGAACAGGGAGAAAGAGAGGGAGAGGGACAGAGAGTGAGAAATAGTAAGATTGAGATAAAAAGAGTGAGAATGAGAATAAGGAGAAGGAGAAAGAGAAAGAGAAGAAAAGGTGAGAGTAAGTCAGAAAGATGGAGAAGTGAAGTAGATGAGGTAATATTTATGCACATACGAGCATCTTTGGTAACTTGCAATTCCCCCTGTAGGCACTGATGCGACTCATGCAGAGCATATTGAAACGATCAAGTCACGCATGTATGTGGGGCTGCAGGACTTACGCTTTGTGCCAGGACAGCTTGGGATGGGCCTTGTTGAAGGCTATGACTCTATGGGCTTCCAAATGTCCAAGCCCAACTTGCGGTCTGAGCTGGAGGCTGATCTCAAAAGGTAGGTAATTTGATTTTACTTGCTTTGAAGAAACATTTCATTTTTATTTTTATATTTATACATTCTGACTGGTTTGCTTAAAACATTGAGGCTAGGCTTTGTATCATGTATTTGGTATTTTTTGAAGTTGATGTTTCTGTCTTGCTCTTACAGGATCTGTGATGGAGTGAAGGACCCCAAGGTCGTCCTGCAGGAGCAAATTCGCAAATATCGGCAGGTGTTTGAAGAGGCTATGAGGCAGGTCAGTTGCTGTTGCTGACCTGTGGTTATAGTTGTGACTAAAGAGGAATGAAGGGGTCATAGTTGTGACTAAAGAGGAATGAAAGGGTCATAGTTGTGACTAAAGAGGAATGAAGTGGTTATAGTTGTTCTTTATATCTTTCAGTAGATAACTGAAAACACAGATTTGTATACATTTGTAAAATGTTCTGTATGAAGTCAGAAGGACAAATCAAGTTGGATATTTTGACACTGAGCTGTACTATACTTTTGTCCATTAAGGCAAGACTCATAGAAACCTAAAAGCTCATGGCCTAAATAATTAGACAAGTTAGCATTTGTTTGTTTTTCCAGGCAGAGAAGATTGACACAGCACTTGGCCACTTTCTGAATGAAGAGCCACGGAGGAACCTACCTGACACACCGATTCCTGATGTCCCTCAGTTTGAACCGGTTAGTTTGTTTTAAAAAAATGTGTGATTTCTAATTCCACTTACATCATATTAGGGTCATAGCCCCTATGTTTCCATATATGTTTCCAAAAGCATATTTTAAATAAGAAATATAATAAAAACTTCTCTAATGATCCTCATATAGATTTCATATCCCGACAGGTGTGCAAGTGTTCTTCGTGTGGTTGTGATGTGGTACTGAAGGAGAAACGGGAGGGTCGTGGCTTCTTCCTCTCGTGCCAAGGCTTCCCCGACTGCCGTGTCTGCGTTTGGCTGCCAGACACCATTCTCTCTGTGGCCGTTGTGGATGAAACCTGTACTCAGGTGAGAGATTGAGGAAAGGGTGAGTGTGAAAGGATGCAGGGGATAAAGAGAGAGGGATAGGGAGAGGGATGGGAATGGGGATGGGAATGGGGATGGGAATGGGGATGGGAATGGGGATGGGGATGGGAATGGGGATGGGAATGGGAATGGGGATGGGGATGGGAATGGGGATGGGGATGGGAATGGGAATGGGGATGGGAATGGGAATGGGGATGGGGATGGGAATGGGGATGGGGATGGGGAGGGAGGGAGGGAGGGAGGGAGGGAGGGAGGGAGGGAGGGAGGGAGGGAGGGAGGGAGGGAGTGAAAGTGTGAAAGTGTGAAAGTGTGAAAGTGTGAAAGTGTGAAAGTGTGAAAGTGTGAAAGTGTGAAAGTGTGAAAGTGAGAAAGTGAGAAAGTGAGAAAGTGAGAAAGTGAGAAAGTGAGAGAGAGAGAGAGAGAGAGAGAGAGAGAGAGAGAGAGAGAGAGAGAGAGAGAGAGAGAGAGAGAGAGAGAGAGAGAGAGAGAGAGAGAGAGAGAGAGAGAAAGAGAAAGAGAAAGAAAGAAAGAAAAAAAGAAAACGAGAAAGAAAAGGAGAGAAAAAGAAAGAGAAAGAGAAAGAGAGAGAAAGAAAGATAAAGAAAGAGAGAGAGAGAGAAAGAGAAAGAGAAAGAGAATGACTGGTACAACAATAAAATGTGAGATAAAGCTTGTTTGAAGGAGAGGTATAGAGTATTTTAAAGAGTTTAAGAGCACATATATAAGAAATATAGCTCTAGAGGTAAAGAGAACAATAGAAGTGGATATTGATGACAATAGACTGATAGCTATACTGATAGATGGGAAGAATTTGAGGGAGATGCAGTAACTAATAGAGAGAAAGCACTAGATAGATTATGAGACAAGTAAACAAAAGCTCATTTATTATTCCAGTTTTCACTTCAGTGTGTTGGAGAACTGACACCCTATATCCTCCCTATTTTCTCAGTGTGCAGGCTCACCCAGAAAACTCCGATTCAAGTTCAAGCCTCGTTCCTATATGCCATACATCCCTGATGAGTATGTGGCATGCGTGTGTGGCTGCGATCGGGACTTCCTTGACACACTGGACATCCGAGCTGTTACTGCTGTAGGGCCACAGGCCTCGCAAGGTAAGGTGATCTCTAGGGAAGGGAAGTTGATATTGTAAAACAAGAAATTTTCAATAACTACAATGGTCAAAATATGCATGAAAACAATGAAAGAACGTATTTTGAGCCTTCTTATCCATGAAGTTCTTTCTGCAGCTGAGCAATTGCACACTACTTTCTATAGGTTATGAAAACCCTAAACCTAACCTCCTAGACAGATTACAACCCATTCACTGTACAGCCCAATCCAAGGCTCCACTCCTAAACCCATATCAAGTGGCCTTGGACTCTGACCCATTTATTGTATTCCCTAGGAGGTGCTTTGGACCTGGATCCTGCCTATGTAATGTAATGTGATATAACCTAACATAACCCTACTTTAACCTAACTTAACCTAACTTGATATAACCTAATCTATGTAACCTGAGACCCCCATCCCTATGCTGTATTCCCTATTGAGGGCTGCTGTTATCCTCCACCCGTTTTGCCTAAGAATGGACAGATCCCAGGGTGTATGAGAATATGCATCTTTTGAATTGATGGAAATGAGAAATGCTTTTTGATCCACTGTTACAGTACTTAGGCAGCCTGTACTATATAAAACCAATTCAACTCTGTGTGTGTGAGTTAATTAGTGACAGAGATGGACAGGTTGAAATACCTTTCGTCTCCATTGCTACCTAGCTGTGCAGCGAGCCGACCTAACACATGAAGCAGATAAAAACTCGTGGAGGTGTGGAAACCATAGCAAAACGGACTGGCCAGTGCCACTGATGGCCCAATGAAACAACCCAAGAATTCTTGGGCTCCATCCTGTGTGCTAAAACTCCTGGTGCTGTCCCCTACCATGTAAAGTATCTTGGAAATGCGATGTTGCTAGCCGTGAAGACAAGGCACCTCCCTGACTTTCATGGTGATTGAGAATCCAATTTGAAGACCTGCTTTAATATTAGATTAATAACTTCCTTGATAAGAGACAGAGTGCTTAGGAAAATTAGACAAACTAAAATGCAAAAACTGGTAGTATAAGATGGAGTAAACATAATGATTGTAATGTGATTCCAAATTGTTGTTCTTCACAATACTCTGATCCTTTTACCAGTGTATCTAGATGTTGACTGAAGTAATGGAATGATGTTTTGGAAAACTGGATGATACTTCTAAGGCTGCAAGTGTTAAGCCTATGGACTTAACCCAGTCAGCACAGATGGCAAGAATACATGCCATGGCCACTGTAATATAAGTTTATTTATTGTATTTACACATAGATGGCTCTACAAGTGCTTAATCACCAAGGAGTCTGTTATTAGTCCTACCTGTCTCACCTGTTTTCCCTTTTCCTTAATTTTTGGAAAGTGCCTTTTGTATTATTGTATTGTCTTTAATATTACTAAGACTTTAATAACAATTTAATTATCATAATATCAAGAATAATAATAACTATCAATATTATCAGAAAGAAAAACACATTTTCCTGCCAATTCAAGGAATGGGGAAACCAGGACTCGTCACTAGGGCCTACTGCTAGACTCCTTGCTGATGGAGCACATGTTGAGCCATCTGTATGTAACAAAATTCACTAAAAACTACAGGGGGTATTATATAAATCCTTGGTGATTAGGTTAACAATATATATATACATATATATATATATATATATATATATATATATATATATATATATATATATATATATATATATATACACACACATATACATATATATATACATATACATATACATATACATATACATACATACATACATACATACATACATACATACATACATACATACATACATACATACATACATACCCTTAATAGGTATGTGCATATATAATGATAATGAAAAGACCCTTAATATCAATCATCACTCATGGTGGGATTGAGAATTTAAAAAGGCAGGAAGATATTGTACACCTGGAAGGTATTACCACACATGTTGAAGACAAATATATTTTCTGCTTTAGGAGGTCCAATCTCATTGCAGTAGTGAATTTATGTGAATGTATTCATACCTATGTTATAGAACAAATTTTGAATGAAATATTTAATATACAAATTCTCAGCAAATTGGTATGAGACACCCCATGGACATATATCCTCGTTGGCTGTGTCTCTTGTTGAATTTCATCTATTTCCCAAAGGGGCTGTCACATTAGTATTGTCTGTCTGGGGATTCCTTTACAGAGCTGAATAATTCTCAGCTGTGAAGGGTATTGTGATGTAAATCCCCAGATTTCGTGGCACTGGGCAAGAACTGCTGTATTGGTCCTTCACTCTGGCTACAGAAGGAAAGATGATGCCAAAGCAAAAACTGTAGTAAACACACCCAACGCACACCCATTCCGACGCATTAACCCAATGCTGCTGGGAAAATGAACAAAAAATGGGGAAAATGCTGTGCTCATTTTCTATATTTTTGTGAAATGTCTCTGTACATGGATGGCTCTGCTAGTGCTTAGCCACAAAGGAGTCAATTAGTAGACCTTGTGAACTTACGTGATTTGAATTGGCAGGAAAAACGTATTTTTTACTAGTGCTATGAATATCGATGGTGTTAGTTTTATTATAAACATTATAATTACTATAATATTATAAACATTAGTAACAGCAAAATAAGAAAACGTAAAATAAAGGGTAAATGGGCGAGACAGGCATTACTCGTAACTGGCTCATTGGTGACCTAATACAAGTGTAGCCATCTGTTTGTAAAAACAATCAAACAAGTACTCACAGTCGGCATAGCACGTACGTACACATCATGCCCGTTGGCATTGGGTTAAAGATGAGGAGCTCACTTTAGAAATTATTTACATGAGAGCGAGAGAATAGTTATGGAATACCAGTCACATAGATTATGATAGCAGAGAGATAAATAAAGAAACTTTGGATGGGGTAGAATTGTACAGCTGGTATGGCTGTCACAATCAATTGAATATATTTTATGCATTTTCAGTTGTTGTATTTATTTCCTCCCAACTTTAGTTTTTAACAGTCAATAACTATGTTGATTGCAATAATAGCAGTTTATTTTATTAGAAAGTTTGGTAATTTTTTGTTTCACACTGTATAAAGTGACCAATCCCACCCTGTACCAGACAGACGCTTAGCATGCCTGTCTAGGGATCCCTGGTCATACACAACTAGTGTGACTGTTGCTTTAGTGATGATGGCATTGGCTTGCGAAACCAATTCTTACGTGAAGCTTTTGGTGGCAGAAATGAAAAGATAGACTAAGGTGGAGATAATGCAAGTCAAGCTTTCCTTTGCTATTGTCTGTTTTTTTCAATATTTTTTTCTGTCCCTTCTGAGGTGGATTTTTGACAATTTAGTTCTAGTTTTTGCTTTATCAAATGCATTAGAATCGATTCCACTTGATTTGAGAATTGAATTCAGCTGATCCAAGTAATGACAAAGAGGACAAAGAGGATATCCATAAGGTATGTTTCCAGTTTGAAGTTCACTAAAGAGAATCTCATGTGGCTAACTAGATTCTTCAATTCTCACTACGCGTTCTGACTAGCACGGACAATGGTGGTTTTGATACTTTTACCGATAACTGTCCAGGATAGTTTATTTGGTAGTTTAATCTTCCCATTTGATGTTAAGGATGTTATGTTTTTATTGATGAAAACGTTCAAGTTCTTTTTTATGTCTCTGTGATATAGTGTCCAGGTTTCACATACACGTAACTAAGTTGAGATGAGTACTTCTTGGTTCAGATCTATTTCTTTGAGCACATTTGGACGGTTTTCCAAAATTACCGTGTGCTGATCCTATTCTGAGTATTATTTGTATTTGGTGTATTTGATATGTTAAATTGGGCAAGTCAGAGTTGACTGTGAGATCAGAAGGATGTCTGCATTGGGAAAGTTGTTGATCAATATTTGGAGATGTGCCATTGAA